AGCTGCTCCCTAGCTGCCTAGCGTTTACCACCTTTCTGCCACCGTATATATATAGGGCAGATCTCAAATGAAGCTACGTGACGGCGCTCCTGTTTTCTCGAATAATAAAACTGTTTGTCATTTTTACTCCAGCTGGATACTTTTTTCTCGAAAATGTTTTCCTCTTCAAAACTTACTTACACAAAATATTTCTTTTCGGCGAAACAAGCATCTAATGAGAAAGTACATCGATTTTTTAAATTAAATTCGTTCATTTGTCGGAGGCAAAATTCGTGAGTACATCAGTCCTTGAAATCGAAACTTTTTATTTGTTGCGGATAAGTAATCAAGGCCTGCCTCAGATAAAAAGTATCTCTAATAGCACTGCAACTAGGTAACAAAAAAAAACTTATCCGGAAAATATCGCCCCCGCTACATGCGCTACTATAGCCAGGTTGGTTTTTATTTTATTGCGTGACGACCCTCACTCACACTGCACCGAGGCACTGTATTTATACGTATAACATAAAAACTCGTGCAAAGAAATCCTAACGCGGAAAAAGAATTGCTATTGTCCCGGCGTTGACTACTTTTGCAAATTGCTCTTTTCTCTATGAATTCTGTGGCAGGTAGCTCTCGGGGCCTACACAGCTTAGTATAGGACTCGAGTTGATTTTACGCGTGCATATAGACAGATGAGGCAGTAGACATCTTTTTTTCTCCTATTAGTACTCGATGGAATTACGCGCGCCTTAATGCAATTGAGGATAATTAAAAGATGGCTCGGGAACCGATTCATTATGTATGCCGAATATGCAAATTAAAAATTATGCAAAAACCTATCGAGAGATTGGAATCTTACTCCTTCAATTTCCATTCTTTAATGAAATATCTCGCACGAGCTCTCTAGACTGCGACCCGCAGTCCACTTTATCTATTTCTCGCGAGCTGTATATATTTGTAAGACAAATAAATCGAACGATGAAGGGATGAAAAAAAACTCGCCCTCCCAACTCGCGGAAAGAGACGGGAAATGTTTCAACGTCGTCGAGAAAGTCAAATATCCACCCCATTCTCCCGCAATAATCCTTACCACTGTTTCGTTTGAATTAGTGATTCCACCTAGCCGCTCGAATGTTCGGCGCAATTCAAATCGGGTGAGTCGTCCGTGGCGCTCATAATCTCGAATTGCCTTCGAAATTGGGCAAAAATCAGCACTTTCCTCGAGCCGTGTTAGCCAATCTGTAAAGTATGACTCGGCGAACGTGCGTATAAAAAATGTATGGTAAATAATAGAATCGTAGAGGATAGGTCTGCGCAATAAAGCCATACGCGATAGCGCCGAACCTATAAGCGAGAGACACGTAGAAGCACTTAACTCTGCGGGGAAACTGTGCTACGTATAGCCCACCTCGCGAGCTTTTCCCGCTCCATAATATCGACTTCTCCGTTCCCTCTATCATTTGCCAATATATATATCTGCGCACGAAAAGCCTCGTTAAAGGCAACCTATCTGCAGCTTACCACATCCTCGGGGCTGCGGAGCAAGCGAGCTAGCGTAGTTTCTCTTATGCATACACATCAACGCCGCTATAATACCGGGAGCTGTACGCTTTGGTTTAACGCAATTCACACTTCGATGCTTGTCATACGTCGAGTATATAAATACCATAAAGATTGATACATTCGTAAAAAATAGGAGCCATCGAGTCTTAGCTTACCAGTGGCCACTGCTAATTCTGCACAAAAATAATGAAAGTACCACGTTTTAGAAAATTTATACGTACTGCAGTAAATTTTCTTCCTCTCATTCAATCGTTGCTATGCACGCGCATCGAAGATTCATTCGAATCCATCACTGGCTCTGAAAACAGACGATAAACTGTATACCGTAGCCTGGATTATATATGCCACGTGGAAAGTTTTTCTTCTGTTTTTGAACGAAAAATATACGTGCAGTTACCGGTTTCTTTATAATCATAAATAAGCTTTTTCCGATAACTTTTTTAAGCGATAAGAGTAACGCACTACGAAAAAAAAATAGCGGAACATATTATAGTGGGAAGAGAAAAAGAGAGATGATATCGTGCAATAGCAAGAAAGCGAAAAAATATAAAACTGGCACCCGTTGCCATCCACGCGTTGGTATCCACTTGAATCCTCCTGCTTTAACGATCAGCCTATAAAAGAAGGAGTGTCTTTGTTTCTCTTCTTTGACAGCGGAAAAATGGCATTACGATTTACAATTATGGCCTCTTGCCTGAGAAACGCCCGATCGATTGTCTTATGCGGGGATGTGCTTCGATATTGGTATCTTTTGCAGATTACTTATTTAATTAAGTCATACCTGAGTACTTTTCATGTTATGATTTTCTTGTTCTTGAATCGTAATAGAGCAACTTAATATTACATCTGAGAGTCCTAGTTTTTCATTATTATGAAAGTGCGGTTATTTGCTAAAATTGGATAAATCTTTTTTATTAACTTGCTTGCTTGCAGCATTTACAGATATGATATTAAAGTACTTTTAATACTCTTGACAAGGTTGACTTTTAAATGTTCACTATTATATCTCACTATAGTGGTCTTTTTGGCTTTAAGAATAAAAAGATCTGCTTTTTACAAATCAGAGGTCAGGGATTTAACACGCGAGAGTTGAATATAGTCGCATGAAAAGGTATAATCTAAAAGAATGAAGTCTCGGCTGAAATCACGTAATCTGAGATTTTCTATTTTTTCACTTCCTAGGTACTAAATTTACTAGTAAGTTGCGATTATGATGTTTGTTTTTACGAGTTTATCCTCTAAGCTTAACAAGCCTAAATAAGTTTTATTTCAAATAGTGCGTAAGCCAAAACTGTAGTTCAAAAATTATTCGCTCCATAAAAGTTTAGAAACCAATTTTTTCAAACTTTAGAAAAGAAAAATTAAATTCCTTCCAACGTTTTACGAATTTTGGTGCACGGTAGAGGGAAAAACAACGACAACGTCATAATAGCATACATTTTCAACGCTGCGCTCTTTTCCTCTTTTTATATAAAGAAATCCGTGTACATATACGTGTACGATGGTATAAGCATATTTAAGGTAAAACTTTTTTACGTGCGATGGTGGGTACGTTGGGGTAAGACTTCAAAAACGAGCGCGCCTTCTCTCAATGATGATGCAAAAGCTCGAGCTCTGATGTCTCAAATAAGCGAGCAAAAATTGAAAAAGATTCGCCACCGCTTGCCTCGCTTTTGCAATGACTTGAGGAAAGTATTGTAAGCAAAGTAATTCGAAGTCGTGCGCCAAAGTGTAATTTCAAACCTCAACATTGCATTAGAAATAATATGTACAATCGTGTTTTAGCATGTAAAAGATCATTGTGTTACCCTTTTTATGGTGGAACTATGCACTTTTGAGACTCTTCGCTACAAATATCTAAATTACGAAAGAAAACAAATTTCCGAAAAAATAGGTTATACAATTCTACTCTGCATAAGTGAACAGCTTTAATTATTCTTTTTTCGATACCATGTATTTGTGCCAGCATATTTTTGCTGTTCCGTGTGAATAAAAGTAATATATTGTGTCACTTACAACCATGCGAGACTTAATCAAATGTTGGAAACGCATAATTTTCCAGCCTTGCATTAGCTCTATCTCTAACTCTCTCGATGTAAATGTGCGTGAAACCAAAATTAGATAGCTACTTAATTAAGCAATTTAATTACGCAAAATCGTATATAACAATAAATTATCCGGAAAATCGTCCTCTATCTCTCTCATCCCAGCAGAAATGGCTCGGGTCATTATCATACCCAATCGTACTTTTGGTTTCTATCTCTAAAGTCAGGCGCATAGTCCCAGCGGAAATCACCCATACATACACCTTTGTATGTATATATATTTTTTGAGTTTAAAATCTACGAAACGAATTGGATGTAGTTGTAATCGCTTCTAATTTGTTTGCTTACTTGAGCATTACGAATATTCATTTCTTTCGTCGAAAAATCAGCCGTCTAGTTCATACTCTCTGGTATAATAACTGACCATGTAATTGTTTTAAAGTAGTATAAGCCGAATATTTTTATGTTTTATGAAAAGACATCGTGATCATTTTTAACGTGTTTATCCTTCCATTATAAGCAATCAAAATATAGTGATACAACTCGAATTGTTTCTCGATCGTTTTATATTTTGTTTTCATCATTTTCCATTGTTTCAATTTCCAAATTATAGCTGCGGCAGCAAAACGCACATTGTATTAGAAAATAAAAATCTAGTCCCTTCATGATTCTTAATTCTGTCGCAGTTTGGCCATTATAACTCTGACTCAGAATTTAATTTTTGTCGATCGACTTTTTTGCACGCCGCGCGGGCATACTAATTTTGCCCTTTCTTTCTCATCTTTCGCTCTCGCCTTTTATTGAATCTTCCAGAGGTAAAAATATGTGTGGATGGCGGTATGGCAACTGATTTCGTATGTATTAGTGCATCGACGAAAAAAAAGAAAGAGAAAGGGAGAAAAGATAATTGAGAAAGAAAAAAGAGGATAAAAGTGAGGGTACAGCGAGGCGTTTTTCATTTTTCAAACAAGGTCTGGCGTTGACTATATTGATTTAAATTTTCAATTTTTTTCATTTCTCACTTTAAAATGCCGAGTTTATACCGTTTACATTGTATATCATTTACATTGTGAGTGAATTTCATATCTTCAATTAAATCGCAAGTCTCAGATAATCATCTTTCTGTACCGAGATGTACTTAAAAAAATAGAACAAATTCCGTACTTTCTAACTGCTGCAAATTTCGCATGAATGTATAACTTTTTGTTACTACGAGGCTCCATTCTATTTACAGCTGGACAGGATTCGTTTCAACATCGGAATGGAGACGAACATCGGCATATTATCGTAGCATAGGATATGCATAAAGACAAATTCATCGCAACGCTTTTTTTTTTTTTTTTTTTTTTTGATGGGAGCGATGGGCTCAGTTTATTTAAATAAAAATGTATTACAATACATTTGCGGGCTTTTGCTACATATGTTATGTAAGACAAAAGGTGGAGAAAGAAATATATGGTGTATAAAACAAGAAGAATGAAAGGCCCATCGACATCTCCTTCAGCCCCTGTTTGACCCCCGCGGGACCGCCGTTGGGCATTACTTCGCGGGGAGAGGCTGGGCTGGTGCACCGAGCTCGTCACGTTTGCACTGTTTGTTATTTCGTCTTCTTCATGCCGCGTCGTCCGGTCATCTTCTTCTGGTCATCTCTTCGGTTCTCAGACTTGTTATGACAGAATGGGCGAAGGTGGCTACCGCGAGCCAGTTTTTTTCGTCTGCTAGCATGAGCTGGACGATATTTTCTGGCCTGGCAACTTCTTGAAGCTGGCGATAGAGCTTTTCTCTTCCCTCCTCAAATCGGATGCAATTGAAGAAAACGTGCTCTGCGTTTTCGACCGTGTTGGGACAGACCGGGCAGTCTGCGCTGGCGTTGTGGTCGTAGCGTTGGCTATGATGTTGCATCATCGCAACGCTGGCGCTCGGTGTAAGCGTTTCTCTCCGCAGAATCAAGTGGTTTAGTAAACAAAAGCCTGTGCAATATTGAAACTAACAATGGTTAATAATAAAATTGGAACTAACAATGGCCGGGCACAATCTACGTTATTATATATATTTACGTGTAATCCGCTGGGGGTATTGCAAGGCTGAATTGTCAAGTGACTCCGTTCGCATGATCTATATAAATATACTGCGAGCTCGCTCATGTGCAAGCGTATACCTATATGTAAATAAGAAAGTCTTTTAGCGTCTCTCGTGCGTGGAAAATCTACTCTTCACATATGCTTCACGTGCACTAGTACACTGTGGTAGCGGGAAACTGCAAGGGAGTGCTGTAGTTGCATCATCATCATCATCAGTGCAGTACAGCAGCAGCTTCGCAGTAGCTTCACTCGAAAATAATGGTTAAATTACACGACGAGTACGAGAGTGAGAGAGAGACTAGAGACGCGTAAAGAGGGATTCCAAGTCGGAGCCTCACATTGTTTCTCGCCCGAGCCTCTTTTGTGGCTTGTTAATAAATTATATCCTTTCTGAGGCGATGACACACTCCTCCGCGACTCGTGTATATGCACGCACGTACGCGTAAATAGTGCCAGCTAATGCCTACTTCATCCGGCCACGTGCATTTGAGATAATATATAGATGCTGCTGCTGCTGCTGCCACTGCTGTTACGAGGCTAAATTCAATGCAAGATTTTAATGAGAAGCAATGCGTTGTTACGCCGCACAGTGGAGCGAACGATCTTCCATTTAGCAATTATACCTTTCTATGCTCCGGCCATCGACCCATTTGGCTAGTTATTTTGACGAAGGCTTTTCACGTGCTTATAAGGCCGATTTAAGTCAACAAGAGGTTGTACCGGTAAAATTGAACTGTTGTTTACGAAAAGTAAGGAGAGAGTAAGAGAGAACAAAAGACTAAGAAAAGGGAATTTTTTTCAAAGATACACACGGAGCTTTGAAAAATGTTTGCAAGAATAATTTTTCAGACGAAACAGAGCTCTAGCAGCGAAAATATGTAGTAGCTTAATATTAACATAATATTCAAATTATTTTTCGAAAGTAAAGTCCCCGCTCGCACGATACGCATAGTATATAAAGATTGTCATGTACGCATGAAAAATTCGTACTTGAGGTTTTTTTCTCCCTTTTTTTACCTACTTTCAAAAATAGAACCAAAAATAAAGTCAAGTTATGAAGGTATCTGTGATATTAAAATTCGAGAATAATTTTTAATAACAAAAGAGCAGAATGAAAAAAGTTGAGCAATGAGCAATGTTTTTATATAAAATCTAGTGTTATAAACATTTCAGAAAAGCAAATAAATATGCGCATAAAATACGAGTGGCAATCGTTTGTTTGCTGTCAAGTGAAGCTTTCAATTAATTCATTCAAAATACGTCAAACGTCATACAAGTCATAGCTCGCACATACCAGGCGAAAATGTACCGCAATAATTGAGTAATGAAAGAATCGGCATTTCTTTTGCTGCTGTTTATTTTATCACTCGGGCTTGCTCGTGTCGTGGAAAAGCAGCAGCAGCAGTAGTGCAGCAAGTGCGCATGCATACAAGCATAAAAGAAAGTGCAGCGCAGCGACAATGTATGCAGTAGCTTTGGAATATACATTCGTGCGCGTTCTCGTGCAGCATTCACTTATTATACGTATAGGAAAAGCAGTTGTACAGCGCCCCGGTACTGACGTACGCATGCGAGCCAAAAAAAAAAAAAAACGAGTAGTGCATTTGACTTACAAAAGACAAGTTTTGCACTCGCACGCACATATACTTGTACGCGATAAAACTGGAAAGCTCCAGCAGACGCACGGGAGCAGCTTCTTCGTAATGCAAGTACACATATATACATAAATACAACCACATACAAAGCAGATACGCCGTACACGTATGTACGTACGTGTGCAGTCTCTTGTTTTGCATCCGATATGTATATATGCAAGGATTAAGTCTTTCTCTCTCTCTCTCAGTCTCTCTAGCTAGGGGAAGGGTGAGCTTTTGAATAGTATTAATGTCGCTAGAATTTATATTCATTGGGCGAAAGAGGAAGGGAGGTTTGCAGCGGCGTCGCTGGCACACGCATTCGCGCAACTGTATAACGAATGAATTAAGCAACTGACTCGTACGTGAGTGACTCTGCGCGCGTGTGTGTGTGTAGGTGCAGCATAGACGGTAAGCGCAGTTATACTCGTATACGACTTTGCCCTCCCCCGGACTGCAGCGGAGTCTCGCGAACGAACGTCACGACGCGAGTCTAATGGAAATTCTAATGAACTTCTAGCCCAATTGTGCTATATCTGCTTTAGGTATACGCGCGAGCGCGGTAAAAGTGCGTCTAGATACGCGTATGACTGCGTACCTATACACGTTAGTCATTTCGCTATCTGCGAAATAACAAAAAACTCCTTCTGCAACGACTCGCGCTAGCTCTATACGGGCGTACTTCTTTGGCCCGCGGATGCGCTTTTATCTCTCTGTTTCCTTGTGTGCATAAATGACCCGCGTTGTTTGTCGCGTATTTATTGCACGAATACTTTAGCTCGAGCAACCTCGCGACCAAATCGCTTTTGATCTTCAACATCGCAAAAACATCTCCGTTACAGTTATTTTTATACAAAAAAAAAAAAAAAAACAGAAGATCCCCGACTGCCGAAGCGGTCGGAGGAAACAGCTTTTGCATTAAAAAAATACTTGCTCAAAGAGAAATACATTACAAAAGATTTTCTTGTAACAATACTAGCAGCGAAATGGTAATTTCGGCATACGAGATGTATTTTCTTTTCGCAGTTGCTTTGTTTATCTCCGGCAAGAGTTGAACATGTTTAAGCTCGGTTGCTTCTATTTTCACGCGTGCATATACGCGAATAATGCGCAAAGTGTTTACGCATAAAGCTATACCATGAGCATGTAAGATATATATGTACATATTGTAATAATGTACTTACTTTAACTAAGAATTTATATACAAGCGGTTGCGCTCGCTCATCAGCAGAAAGAGAAATGTAGAGAATAAAGTCCGTGCGCAGATAAGTTTGAAAAAGTATTTTATTATAAAAGTTAAAAGCCTCTAACTGGCTAGCGTGAGTATATCAACATTTTTAAAGAGTGTAGAAAACGTTTATATTCAGAGCACACTTTTAAGTAGGTACCTGTGAAGATCTTCGACACACAATGAATAATTTTTTTACTCCCTAAATACTTTAAAAAACGTATTGTTGTGTTAAACGGGGGTAACTCATTTTTCTCGTTAAAAAAACCATGTTATCATTAATTTTAAGTTCATGGAAAAAATAATTACATCTCAAACTAATTTGATGTCGATGGATGTAATGACAATATTGCAATAGGAAAAACTTTCTTGAGGAAGCTTCACAATTTCAAAACGCAAAATAAGCCTATGCGACTGATTGTTAAGTAAAAACACAGAAAATGAGCAAATATAAGCAGGCGAAATCGTATATACGTAAGCTCACCTCATTAGCGTTGGAAAAAATATACGATACAGTCGTGAGCGGCTTTTACTTTTTATGCGGAGGAGCTGAGGGAGAAAGTCAGTATTTTCTTTAGAATTATATTGCTTATTACTCAAATTCCGCCAGACCGTGATCGTTTCAGCCTTAGTATACTTAAGGGGGGGGGGGTATAGTTAATTTTTAGTTATTTTAGCTCATTTTTGAGATTTATTTTTCGAAATCTAGTGATGAAAATGTAGTAATATCGATTTGTACACTAAAAAGCATCCCTTCAAGAGTACTCAACTAAATTTTAGTTGAAAAATATTGAAAAATGAGCCTGGGGCATCGGTTTGAAGAAAACACGTCGAAAAATGCGGTGTACACGACAACTCCTCGCAGAATCATCAGAAACAAGCCTAATGACATTTTTTTATTAGTTTAGAGGATTCTGAAGGTACTGACGTAGAGTTTTTAAAAATATTTTCATTTTTGAAAATTTGGCGTGATTTTGAAGTTGAAAAAATGGGAAAAAAATCGAAAAAGTACACTTTTTTTTCTCGGAAAATTGTTGAAAAAAAAATGAAAATTTTCCCAAAAATGAAAATATCTCAACGCCACTACCTTGTAAAATAGTTAATAAATAACGGTGTAAAATTTCAAAAAGATCGGTCAATAAGTTTTTGAGATATGATGTACACCGTCTTTGAAAATGCTATTGTTCAGGAAACGCGTTTAAAGATTTTGAGGTCCAGTCCTTCTTCCTTTTTGCACGTGCGTTAAAATGGCAATATCTTGGGTAATTTTGCTCCGATTGGCTTAAAATTTTAACTGAATACTCTTGAATGTATATAGAATCGAATAAGACAATAAAAAGAGGAATCGAAAATTTTTGCGAAAAATACTATACCTCCCGTTAAAGGCAACGCTGCCTCAACGATAGTTCATACGGAAAATATCTATTAATTCTGCCGCAGCTTGGAGCTCCATACTCGCGTTGCCCGTGTTTACCAGCTTGACCTATACTCAATTTTAGCTCGCTACATACGCTCTTGGGATAATCGGATATTTCATGCACGATCGCGATCGAACTACTAATTGACTCGTGCGCATGTATACGGCTATAGAAATAATAATAAAATGAAAGTTTTTATGTATATATTTACGCACGAGTGAATATCGAGTAAATAAAAAGTCACACACGTGACGCCCGAGTAAGCGGATCAACTTTGCGGAGCTATCTCGAAGAAAAAGCCGAGTGCGGAGCCGTTGCCAAATGCACCTCGCGAACACGGAGTAAAATTCTGCCTGGCGCACATAAGGCTTTAATCGAGAGTATAACGACATCGCGAGCGAAGGATCGATATATAGTTAAGCTTGAATTATGGAAAGCTCGGCCGACTTCTCTCTTGTATATCGTCTCAAGCAGCTATCATCCTCATCCATATAATACGGAATTCACGACACGACGTCGATGCGAAGACGACGACGACGACGTCAACAGTAGCGGTATATACTAGGAGGCGCCGCGCGCGGAGCCTATAACAGCCTCAACTTGCGAGTTTGCGTATGTGTGGGTACGCTGCGGTGTGCGTTAGTGCGCGAGCTCTAAATCGAGGTAAATTTCCGCAGAGATAAGCTCGGCCGCACGAATTTCCAATGAGCGAGCGCGTGATTCTCGCGCTCGCGCGCGCGCCAACGAGATAGCTCGCGACGAGGCGAAGTATGTACCTATGTACATGTATGTACGAGTAACACGCGTGTGCACGCATAGGTAATAAGCGAACTTGCAGAGAGTCAGAGAGGCAGCTTTGATGTGCGCGCGAGCGAGCGGCGTATTATTGGATTCCTTTTATGTAACGGCTTACAGCAGCAGCAGCAGCAGCAGCAGCAGCACATCGTCACCGTCGTCGTCTGGAATTGTTTCTTTATCAGAAAGCTTTGAGTTCGTCAATATTCCGAGTGTAGCAAGAGGGGAAAAAAACCTTGATTCTTTTTTTTTTTTTTGGTCCAATAACACGATGATTCTCGTTGCAGACTGCATGGGAACGCGCGTAGAAGCGAGCAAAAAGTACCGCCACCTTATCTCGCATCACTCGAGAGGTCTCGAGTGCCTATATAATAACACTGGCATAACATTGTGGAGCGCGGCAAGTACGGCATGGCGCAATATATATATTGCAGCGTGCATATATCGCGCCATAAAACGTCGAGAGAGAGAGAGAGCTTGCAACGAAATATCTGCATATCATGTGCTTGGGGTATGCTTTTTCAGCAAAAGTATCACGGTAGTAGCGCGCGACATTTTACGACGCCACCTAGCTAATAACGACCTTTGCCAAAAGTCATAGCAGCCGCTCGACATCCATTGCGCACCCTTGCAAATGATTCGCCGCGCGAAGCTCAGTAGCGATGATTCTTGCATTATTACCTTAGCGTAACAATTACTCTAGCTACATACATTTGCCGTATTGCGCAAGAAAAGCTCGTCGTCGCTGAGCCCCCCCTAGCTCGCGCGACAGTCGAGAGGTAGTGTCGAGAGATTTTATGGAGGAAATAATCTTGAGTCTCTCTCTCTCTCTCTCTCTCTCTCTCTCTTTCTAATGTGCAGCGAGCGAGGAAGATGTTGTCGAGCGCGCAACACAAACTTATACTTATTGCCAGTGTAAAGAATTGATGGTATGGCAAAGTTAACTGCGCAAGTACGTAGTTCGTTATGTATTTGCGTTTGCTGTACACGCGGCGCGATTCAAAAGCTCGGAAATATACACGAGATGCATCGGAGGAATATCTCTTGGGGATTTCTGGGGCTGCGCGTTTGGGATTATGCGCTCGTGCTCTCGCTAAAGATATAACTTGCATTATATTGCGCCACGCAAAGTCCTAAACAGATCGTTTTATTTATAAGTATTATATGGTTTTCATATTTTCTTGTTCACGATCGTGTGTGTATATAATAACAATGATAAAAGAAAATAACTCACCGATTTCCTTGGAAAAACTCAATCTGCTTTTGAAAGTCATCATTTGAAAATGTTCCTCTTGCACTGTCCCTTGCACCCTATTGATGAAGTATAAATAACTGAAACAAAAGATAAAAAGTTAATGTTGATTATGTCACGTATTTCAAGTATTTTTTATGTTTATTGGGCTTTTGGAATGGCCTGGAGTAAATATTTTTTTTTATGTACTTTCATATTTTTATTTGTATTATTTTATATATTTTTAATTTGAAATATACCATTTATATGACCAACCCTTTGTACGGGCATACATGATCTTTATAGGTTCTTTTTGTAATTATTATATGAGGAAAGGAATTTTTTGTCAATAAATAACAATAATGATAATAATAATACATATTATAAATTTTAATATCAGCTAATGAAAACGCTTTTAATATAGTATCGTAAACTTTTGACTCATGGCGTAATTCACATCTGCAGGCGAGCTCATTGGCTACATTATATACACCTCTAAATACGCGCGCGCTTATAACAGGTGCCATATAATGCAAAAATATAAAGTTGCAGCTGCGTATCGTAAAGACTAATAACGGGGCAAGAAATCCTCTCGGGTCATCCGTACGCGTATTATAATAACACGCCCATGAGCTGCGCGCGAGTAGCAAAGAAAAACAATTTTCCGTTCGCGCTCGCGCCCGATGTAACTCGCGCACGTCATTATGATATACAGCGCCTTCGCCCACGCACCCCCCCCCCTTCGCTCGTGCAGTATACATTATGAATTCTAGCCTTATTCTCAGGCTGACTGTAATAACATTTTGCATCAAAAGAGCCTCGGTATTGTATGGTGTGTTTTTAGTAGCTTACCAACGAGCTAGACGCGGGGGCCCGCCGCGCGGGTATTAGTTCGCAGACAGTGATAAAATCTCAATTATACGTGAGGGGGGATAAGGCAAGAGATCGTGAGCTGCCTTGGCAAGGAATAAAGGATAATATATCGAAATATAAAGCCGGGAAATATCAGTTTTGGGCAAAACAGCCCGCGTAAAACACGCCGTTATAATACCTGTATCATGTGCATTGCAAGCACGCGGAAATGCACGCGTACGAGCTTCGATACCTCCCAAACGTGCTGTACTCTGCGCGTGTACTAAAATTCATACGCATAAGCGCTGCTGTATAACTGAAATACTAATAGCCCACACGGACCGTTATGCGATTTTATCACAAGGTGTCATGTATAGCTCAGCGTCGCGAACCTAAGGATCGCACAAATGTTCTGCAATGAAAAAAAATACACAGACCACTTCGATTATTACTATGAATTTTTCATTTTCAAATATATAAAGTTAACGAAGTAGTAATGAGTATTCATTCACGTAATAAGTGCACAGATGATTGGAAAAAAATCATCGCTCCCTTTTTAATTGTACTTTTAGCGCGAGAAATTCATTACTTTGGGGGCACTCAATAGAACATACATAGTGTCGAGGTAACGGAGCTGATATCAAAGCGTTTGTAATTATTCCGAATAGCACAGGCTCGGGGCTTTGTCGGTACAATTACAGGAAAGGCGAAGATAATTGGCTGGCTTAGGGACAAGTTAATTTAGTTGCCGCTGATACTGACCCTCTTGGCTTTGATCTCTACATGGCTAATAACGAATTCGAATATTCGGAAATTTCTACAATGGTTTGATACCCACTCGAATCTACGTTTCTGAGCTATTTAGACGTTGCAGTTGTTTATCAAAATTAACCTTCCCTTTTTTTGTCTTTTCAAGTTCAAGAAGTTTTTGGGAATAATTGCTGAGTTACTACCTCGCGTTATGGCTCATTAACTTTCCTGTAAAGTAGTACAGGGTGTAGTTGGCAAACAACAAAATTATATCCAGCTGAAAGTTTGGATTACGTCCTAGAGCTCCTAACTAAATATCAAGACTGTTCAGATGCATTTCGCCGTAAATTTAACCCCACTCAAAACGCGACAGCAGTTAATCGCGTAGTTTTTGAACTAATTTTTCTTATTATTTGATCCTTCTTATTCGACGCATTTTATGTTTTTTCTAAAATTCACCAAAATTGTTTTCCTCATGGAGGTACTTATAAAGTGATCGGCTTGTAGCAGCTTGCTCTAAAAAAATGTGATTAAAGATGAAAATCTCGCGATAAAAAATCAACTTGTCACATGCAAGCTCTCGAATTCTTAAGGAAATCGAGTGGAATATCTTGGCTGCGCCAAAGATCCTCATGTGGCGTTTGAGGCCGGGACGTCACGAGATCTCTGTGTATGTGTACATACGTACCTCGGCACATCATCCACTATAATCTGGCGCTTGCGTGCCGTGTGTGGTGTATATACAACGTGAGCTGGATCGAATGATTTGTATGTGACACGTCGATAAGGGCTTTGACGCGGTATATATATACTCGTGCACACAGACGTGTACCTATATACATACATACATACAACATCTGGACATGCCAAGTGTTTGTAGTCGTCATAAAGCTGCTACTTGACAATTACAGACGTGTAGCGCTGCTGCGTGTTCGCGATACTCGGCCTCTGTACCTGACGTTGCCTGCCTGCAACTCCTCTTTTTTGTTTCATTGCAGCTCTGCTACTTTCTTTTTCCCTTTTTTCATCTCCATTATATATATTTCCCTCGCATTTCTTGGACACGCGACGCTCCTTGTCGTGGGATCGTAAAGTTAATTCCGTACGCTGTTTTTTACTGCCACGAATATATATAGAACATCTCGTTTTCTGTCTGTATCTCCCTTTCGTTCTTGTACACATTCGCGTCGAAGCTGACTTGAAAACTGCTGCCTGTGTTCGCTGCAACTATTTGCTTCTACAGGAGTCTCGCTGTTTGGTATAATGTATTGCATAGGCATGGCTTCTTTGTAAATTCGCTATTTCTTCTTGCATACCCAACGTAAAATTATAAATTAAATTAATAAATGTATGTTTACGAGAAAAAATTCAAGAGAAATTCACTCTTAATCGAGTTCATGTAATCATGTGTAAGTACACGAATTACGAGTGGTACGAAGTCGATGTTGTCAGACGCCTCGTTAAAAATGAATTATAATGTCAACATAATATCGTAAGGATATGTTTGCCAAAAGAAGGAAAGAGAGTGCCTAGATCTCGAGATCGACGTCAGCAAAAAAAATAACGTTACATCATGCCAAGTACAATATTTAGATTTCCTCAGCTGAAGGCTTCGAATATGCATATACCTGCATGCTATCGCGAAAGCTTTTATCTCGCTACCCTTAAATATTGCCTAACATACATTCGATCATGAAGTCTTACCAATGAACTTTTATCGCTTACAGGCAGACTCGAAATATTAATTTAAATTGAAACCTCTAAGCTCCATCATATATACGTGTATATATAGATTCCGGAGAAACTTCAACATCCACGTAACTGTTTGTAAACACACACGCGCGCGCATACATACACAGGCGAGCGCGCGCAAAAGTACAGAAGCTGGCAGTAGCACTCGAAGCCAAAGCAATCGTTCAAATGGATCGTTGTCGCGTTCGCGGTGTTATGCTTTCAACCGGATTTTCTCTTGCATCGAGCGCGAGCACATTTCCGACGATGAACAAACACAAACATGCACCCACGCACATACGTTTCTGTGTATATATAAACGAGCTTGAGCGAATGATAAACACGTGCGTGTAACACGCTTCTCTTATTGTTTATACCGATGGGTTACAGCTCCGCTGACTTGTAATTGATCGATCGCACAAGGATGCGCTGACATCGCTACTGTCCATACGTTGCCTGCGGAGTGTGTAAGCAGACACGAGCGATTTCACACATCGAGAGGAAAAATCCTTTTAATCGTATTACGCTCGTAAAATCAAAAAAAAAAAAAGATTCTAATTCGCGTTGCCTGTAAAGTTATGTTATGTCGCAAGCGAGCTTTAATTTCTCTTAACAAACAATATTAGAAACTTGGCGGACTAGCGGCTGCTCGAAGTTGTTAGTCAAAGAGGATTTAAGCCAAAACATAGCACTAAATTCAATTTTATCCAATTAAAACTAACGATCCTGTCGCGCGTGGCCGGTCGACTGGGCATCCATAATGACTAGCTAACGCGACCAATTAGTAAAAGATATCGATGCGGTGCAGTATGCGCGCGAGCGCGAAAACAAAAATTTTGACGAATGCAAACCGCGAGCAGCAGATATAAAGTCTGCTAATCTTGTTTACTGTGACTCTAACAATCCTTTATACGTTCGCTATATAGAGTATAAACGTACTCTGCATATATCTATTTGAGTGTGCCCTATATCTAAAATCGATACCCGAAATATTCAAATGAATTTCATCGACGTTGTTAAACCAGAGCGCGACAATTCGATAAAATTATAACTTGTGCGCTGGCTATATCCAACAACATTTTCCTCTTCTTTTTCAAGAAGTAAGTTCAAAATAATAGACGAAGAGTTGAAATTCGGTTCAGATAATGTAAGAAAAGGTCTAGTAGTATACAGCTACATTATCACAACACACGAGTTGTGCACATCATAATGTATGTAAGGCGGTTATAGATCTTGCAACTAGCGAGTTGTTCACATTGCAAGATATTTTTGACTAGTTTTTTTCTTCCCAGTGTCTGTTTGGCATCTCTCTCTCTCTCTCTCTCTCACAGTGCAGCCGTAAATGCCTCGTTTCTTTGCTGCTTTTCTGCTTGCTTATTCGGCAGGGTTGCTGCCACGCGCGTAAGTTTGTAATACAATACAGCGACGTGTATATGTACACAGGTTCGTATATAAGCAGTCGCGAACACGTGTTCAAGTCTCCGTGTAACGCGTCACACATTATGTCAGAGGAGCGTGACACGCGTCGCTAAGCACCGCCGCTTCGTCAGGTCCTTCAGAAGTGTATATCTTTCATATACATGCGGCGAAATAAATGTACAGGAATTTCGTGCTTATGGAGCACACAGAGAATACGAAAGCCCTCTCGCAAGCTCGTGAGTGTGCGTTCGTATTACAATCGGAATAGAAGCTCGCGAAAGTAGTTCACTGCCGCTCGTTTTGCATTTTTTTGATTTAAAAGCTAGATTCGACTTGCCCCGAGACTAAA